ATATGACAAGCGAATTCTTTAACCGCTAGGCTACCTGACCGCCCCTGGGTTAGGGAGAGGAAAAGGGTTGTGTTATTGGTAATGTGTATGTGCAGGTCGTTGAGGTGTTGGTGTGGTTGCATGCGTGATTGCGTGCATGGTAGCAAGTATGGTTGCGTGCATGCTTGTGTGAGTGAGGATGTGGGTGTGGATGAGGGTGTGGATGATGTCTTGTGGACAAGGGTAGAGTGGGTAGAAGACAGGGAGAAGAAAAAGAAGAATTTGTAACTGAAATACAATTTCTTCTTATGAATGATATGCAAATAAAAATCGTGGACATAAAACCTGTTATTTTAGCAAGGTGGCTAATAATGGTGACTAAAAAAATTAGAAACTGTCGCCAAGGAAGGATCTTGTTCACATTCCTTCCCAATAAAGGTGTGGGTGAATGAGTAGGGGGTGAGTGTGGGGTAGGGTGTGGGTGTGGGGTAGGGTGTGGGGCAGGGTGTGGGTGTGGGGCAGGATATGGGTATGGGTGTGGGGCAGGGAGTGGGTGTGGATGATGATGAGTGGTCAAGGGCAGAGTGGGTGGAAGACAGACAGGGAGAAGAAAAGGGAGGTATCATTGGTCAACTGTATGTGCTGATCCATGGGGTGTGGATGTGGGTGTAGATGTTACTAAGGGGCGTGTGTCTCTTGGTGTTGATGGGAGTGTGGATGTGGATGTGAGTGTGCGTTGATGTGGGTGTGGATGATGGCTTGCTGGATACCTTAGGACAGAAATAGAGAGAATAGAAGGATGGTTTTCAATTGGTCAGCCGTTGTGGTCATTGAGGTCATTGTGGTCAGAGTGTGTGTGTGGATGATGGGTTGTGGACAAGGGCTGACTAAGCACTTGAAGGCAGGGATAGATAAGATTATTGGTCAGCTATATGCGCATATCAATAAAAAAAAGTTTTGGAGAGTCAAAAAAAAAAATCCTCTTCAAAGACTAAATGTTAGTCTAACATACCTGGAAGTCGCAAGGAAAGGGCTGTACGGAGTGAGTGAGTTGGATTTAACGCCGCTTTTAATAGTATTCCAGTTATATCACTGCTTGACAGCTTAATGTGGGAGGAAAGCCCGAAGTGAAGCAGGCCTCAGACGTTTACTACTTCGGTGAAACCCACAAGCACGGGTATGGTGCTGACAAACCTAGAAACATAATCGGGGCGAACCGGATTTGGAACTTCCATATGTCAGCCATACTGTGAATGTGAGGAGGAGGTAGATTGGACATTGGTCAGCAGGGATACTTGATGTAAACCTGATGGTCATCCAGGCAGAAGGCTGTTGAACCTCTGGTCAAGGAGACCATTGCAAGAGGTCAGCTGACTGAGGAGGAGACGGTTGTCTAATTGCCTGGGGGGACGGTCAAACATCTGTCATACTAGCTGTATGGTATTGGGCATCAAGGTGCTTTGTGCTTTGATATCTTGCCTGGAGGACTAAAGAAATGTCTTGGTTCATATTACAGTTGGGGGTTCACTGGTTGGGAGAAGTAGATTTCTTGTAAGCCAGTATGGTGGCTGTATGTTACATGTAACATGTTTTGTAAGACTAAAATCTGTAGGAGATGGTGCTTCAAGACATGTTGATGATGATGGACTGGAAGTGAATGTACATAGTGTTAGGTGCATGCTATTCATGTTTGTGGATGTCACAGTGCAACAAATAGAGCTTGTCTGATTCAGTACACCATGAACGTAACAGTGATTATAACAATCATACCATTTGATTTATTGTTGTAATGTAAAGTAATGAAGCTTTCAGTAGATAAGACATAGTCAACGAGGTTATCTTCAGTCAGGCAGTCACTCTCTCTTTCTCTCTTTTCTTTCTTCTTCCTCTTCTCTCTCTATTCCCTTTCTTTCTCTTTTCATCTTTCTCTCTTTTCATCTTTCTCTTGTCATCTTTCTCTCTTCTCTCACTCTTTCCTGTCTTTCTTCTACCTTGTTTTTCCCTCTCTATCACTCACTCACTCCATCACTTCATCACTCACTCACTCACTCACTCACTCACTCACTCTCACTCCATCACTCACTCCATCACTCACTCACTCACTCACTCTCACTCCATCACTCACTCCATCACTCACTCACTCACTCTCAAACACAAACACACTAAAAACACAACCACATGCTCATAATATTGCAAAGCATAATCTAAAATTTTCACATGATGAAAATTCATCCCACCCTGGACACTTAATACAAACAAAACAATAACTAGCATACAACAACATCAGTACAAATTCTCTGGTTATAAGCCATGGCACCTTCTCATCATTGTTGGCTATCCAGTGATATGTCAGACTGTCCATGTGATGTAAGTCGGTGTAACTGGTTGTCACACAGTGAGAGCCCTTGACAAATGATCAATTACACTCCTCCCTGACAATGCATTACATAACCAGGCCGGCCTTTGTGGTGATGTTGTACATTTCACTGTCGCTATGTACATTGGATAGAGATCAGTGAGATTCTGCCTTGTTATCAGATCTTACACATGCTGTAGATAAGGACATATCTTTTAAGTTGCTTTAGGAGAGAGAAGCTGTCTGGACTTACATTTAGAATCCTGTTTTGATTTTTGAGTTAAAATGCGTACTTAAATCAGACGAGCTTATTATACAGAAGGACATTTTGCTAAAGGCTTTGGACAGGTGGTTAACGTGGTAGACTGGTTTGATAGAAAACATGTAATCTCAGATCTACAAATTGGGTTTACTTGAACTGTGGAGGTGTAAGGCGTTATTGACAGCGACTTGGAACAGGCCTGCACTGTCGGGTGATACCATCCATGTTTCTCATGGGTTTGGAGGCTTGACCCTTGAACCCCCTTAAGTTGGGAAATTGACAAGCTAGTGAAATCTACACAGGCACAAAGTCTACAGGTAGACTGCCTGGGGAAGCAAGTATCTGGCCATTACCTTCGTTAGCGACGTTGCTGTGTGGAAATAGATGTCAATCTGTATCATAAAGTGCAAAGGGGACAACAAGGAATCATGAAATTGACAGCTTACTGACTGAAATTGACAACCATGAGGTGTGGGATTTTAAAGAGAATTTAATTTGAAATGAGTGCCTCGGAGAGAAGACAGGAATACTCCTGGATTAATGGTGTTCGAAACGTAGCAGATAACATTTTGTTGCTGAAAGGTTGTTGCTATCAGATTAAAACTTGTGAAAAATGTGTTTATCATGAAAAAAAGGATTTGAATGTTTTTTGATATACTGACTCCAAAAAGATAAGTTATGTTGAGACTGACACTGTATCATACGTGACACTAAGGAAGTCGGTGACCCAGAGAGAAACTTTTCAGTGCCGTAAGAAATATGTAAATATCATGAATAACAAGTGACAGATGTTTGGGTGATGTATGTATCTCAGAGAGGTTGTAATCTGTCAAGCAAAGAGAAACGACATAGAATAGACGGAGACTTAATAACCTGTTCGGACGGCGATAACCCGTGCATTGTGAATAAGATTGACAGAAACTCTTCAAGAAGAATCACCACTCTCCGTTGCATCTGACGTTCATCTTGTATTGTCTAAGACATCACCTTTGTTAGAAAGAGATTCGAGAGCTGTTATTCACGGACGTGAATCCTATCATCACAATCAGAGCATGAGACGGATTTCATGGTGCAATTAAACAGCCTTTCTCAAAGGTTTTGGACCTCAAAAGAAACGTGGCTTTGTCGGCCTTTTCTTATACTTACCTGTGTACCTACCTGAGTTGGATTCATTGTGATGGGACATAATATGGAGATGTGATTTTGTAAATATTTTCTCCAAAGTGACCCAGTTTTTATGTTCTGTGGGAACACGGACAACAGAATTGTATGATGGATCTTATATATCACGGATTTAAATTCCTGCTGTGAATTTGAGACGACCAGGATTTTTCTGGAAGGGTGAATGTTTTGTGAAGGACTGCAGTTTATGTTTGATCCGTTATTTCATTGACGACGAGGCTTTGCATGGGGTCATCTTTCTTACGATCATTAAGTAGGAAAGTGCTTTCAATGTGTGTCATACTGACTGGACCACACTGAGATAATTTGACTCCAGGAAAGTACTATCTACAAGAGATTTCAGAAATTACGAAGACCGTCTTGGATTTGAAACCCAGATTCAAACTTCAAAGGAGAGAACTGAGAAAGTATGAACGGACGTGACATTTGAGTATGTGGAGGAGAAGGGAAACTTAAAGTTCAAGTTTGGCAGGGTAGGTTTGTTGCTCAAATTTGAACAGACCAGTTATCTGACTCAAGGTGCAGAAAGTGTCATTGAATTACATCGTTACAGACTCTAACACGGCGAGAAAAAAGTGGAATGGGCGCTTTGAGAAACTTTAAAAATATCCATTTGTCCCGTTGACATTGAACTCTTGACATTGCCCTGCATATTTTTTTTTAAATCAGAGGCAAAGATTTGCAGTGTTGATTATGTGGGAACATGATACTCTGTGCCATTTTACTTGGATGTGATTGTGGGTTTAGGTATGACTGATTGAACTTAAGTAACTGACTTACTTACATCAAACAAGAAACAGTAGGAGATTAAGGGATTGCTAATAAACAGGATGGCCTAAGTAGAGGATTATGAGTGAGTGTTAGAAGGGATTTCACCATTATTACTTCCACACAAGGTCAGGACACCTGACTGAATGTTCAGTCACTGATTGGCCCAGCCTTGTGAAAGTGCAGACACTTTGGATTGACTGTTTTGGAGCAAGTGTTTGGGCTATTGTGTATTTCTGATGTGGAAAACATTATTTCATGTTTAAAAAAACCTTGCTTATCTTTGAGTGTTCATTTCAGTTTTGACATGTGTCAATGAAACTTAAAGAACAAAGAAGTTTTGACTGGATTTCTTTTGTGGATATTCAAGATTGAGAAGTGATTGAAGTGGTTTTTGTTACCTGAAGTTTGAGGATTCTGGGTCCTTAGTTGACAAATTTTATGAGATCTTGTTAGGGTGAAAGGAAATATGTGAGATAAAACATCAGAAAAAAAACTTGACAGAAATAATCAAAGAAGTTTACATTGCATGTAAGTACTTGATTGACATATCGTATGACTGATCAGATTGTCAATGAACAAAATCACAAGAGTGAAATTGACGACAATCACGTTACTTTGCGTTAAAGATTTACCACACGGGGTAGGACTTTGTGTATGGAGGACCACGCATGGGAAAACAGTGGTGAATGTTTTTAATCTTTACCTTGTTGAAAAGGGAAGTTATGACCAGGAAAATTCTTGTGGAGATATTCAAAACTTGGCAGTTGTGCCAGGTGTAAGGAGGGCCTGCTCGTCACCTCGCATGCCCCCAACCACATCCAGCTCACCTCCGCAAACACTGAATACCTGAGGAGTAGGCAGGCTTGTATCAGTGATCGCTGCGGTCACGGCAGGATTACGCTGAAGTAATTTTCTATCCTTTATTTGTGCAAACATCAGGGGGCTCTGTGATAGCCAAGATAAAATTCCTTTGCGAGAGGGACAGTGTCTTTCTGCCTACAACATGATGTGCCATCACTGGCTCCTGAAACAACCAACGTTACCTGTGATGCAAACGGATACATTGGACTCTCATGGGACGTGGCTTGAGAGGAGACTCTTTCTTTAACATACCGTGAAATGGACGCTGCCTGCTTGATATTTACGACATACTTGTGATATGTACGAGTGTGGATTTCGGTGGGTGCAGCTTGTCATTGTTATTAGCGGGTTGGTACCTGACCAGGAGTGACAGTGGATATAAACACATGTCAGAATGCACGTCAGTGATTTTCTCCGGAGTTGAATTTACCTTGGTGAAATATTTTACATTCCATGACAGTTTCTTGTTCATTTTAACCGAAAAGGTGACAGATGGGACAAGATGACTGACAACTGACTGTAATATAACGAGAATATTTTAGTGTTTGTGTCTAGTCACTAGGCTATGGATGTTTTACTGTAATATGACAGAAAACTGGTTGTAACTTGACTCCCACTTTGAAATCACCACTGCTGGGGCTTGTAACGTCCTCGCCTGTCATTCAATGTGTTTATGAAATTGACAAGAAATGTACCTGTGGTAAATTTTACGAAAATTTATGTGCCGAACATTGGAATAACCTGGTTGAAATTAATATGATTTAAAAAAGAATCCATTTCAAGGTGTGCTGGGTCTTGTAATACAAAATCTACAGACAGATTTTATCAAGGGATGCCATGCTTCACTGAGTAGCAGATAGCTGATAGCAAGTTGTTTCTCTATAGAGCTCACACATGCTCAGGATTTGTTAACAAACATGGTGGAAGGAAGGCAATATATTCTGAATTAGGATCACTGTGTTTGTGTTACGTATTTCCTCGTCTCCAAGTCACGTAAGTTGATAACAAGTTAGTAACGAGAAGGGGACAGAGCTTGTTTGTTTTTTGTATTACGGGTAATCAAGTGTCGTTTGAGATAAACTAATTACCATGTCTGGAGATTTGGTAACAATTTCTGAATTTTCTCGAGACGATATGCTTGACTCAAGGCAGAAAAGTCGGACCCCATCACAAAGGTCAAGGACAAATGGATTTGATGAGCACGAACTTGACATGGAGGTACACAGTGCCGATTGTCATCGGAAACAAAGTGGGAATGAGGAAGAAGATCGTTCACAGACCCCCGTGTCATGTGGACGTAACGACCATTCAGCTACTCCTAGTCTGAGTGGAGGTAAACCATCACGAAAAAGTAGTTCCGGATCCTCACAAACAGATTCATCCCCTGTTGGTAAAAGTAGTGAAGCGTCTATGAGACTTAAAGGTGGAAAGACGATATTGTTTGAAAACGAACCAGAACAGCTTAAACTTGGTTGTAATCACTGTTCTCGGTTACGACGCTCCGAGGTTTTCGAGGAAGAGTTTTGCAGTCAGGGACCTCGTGTGAGACGCAGTGAAAGTGGAAATGACCTGAGTTACGAATTTTCACCGCGAGCTCGTGTTCCGAGTGAGGATTTTGATAGCCCAACAAGAAACCCCAGAAAAATATCTGGGGCTGATTCCCCATCCAAGACAAATGTAAGGAGAGTCAGCAGCGGTGGGTCTGTTAACATGGATCGGTCTACGCCCCAGACCAAAAATGTTCGACGGACATCCAGTGGCGCTAACGTTGAAAGAAATTCCTCTTCTAAGCAAAGAGTGCAGCGCAGCAGCAGCAGTGGGGATAGACATCGTGAATATGGTGCATTACATACTGCGTCTCGGGTTCGCAGATCGGAAAGTGGAACAAGCATCAATATAGAACAAGGCCGACCTCCATCTCGTAATTCAGACTCCCGCCCCCCTTCCCGAAACTCAGACAGACCACCTTCACGGGTCTCGGATAGACCGCCTTCCCGTAATATGGATAGACCGCCTTCCCGTAATATGGATAGACCGCCTTCCCGAAATATGGATAGACCACCTTCCCGTAATATGGATAGACCACCTTCCCGTAATATGGATAGACCACCTTCCCGAAATGCTGACCGACCTCCATCAAGAAACATGGAAAGACCTCATTCGCGGAACTCATTCTATCGCAGCGACAGCAACAGAAGCATTAACTCTGATTTTGGAGGGTCAAGGTCACAACAGTCTGGTCAAGAGGAAGGTTTATTTCGCCGAAGTGAAAGCAACAGGAGTATTAATTCTGATTATGGTGGAAATTCCCGTTCTCGTGGATATGCTTTGTTTGGAGACAGTGCATCGGATCAGTCATTACACAAAAATAGTTCCCGAGTTCGGAGGAGCACTAGTGGGAGTAACCTACATACGAACCTCCAAAGTTCTCGGAAAAAAAGTGATGGTTACCAAAGGACAAGTGTTGGTCAAAATCATTCACCCAAACAACCTATGATTTTAAGATGTGCTTCTCGGGACGGATCTATTAGTTTAGACTCAGGAAACTTACTGCAACGGTCGCCTAGTGGATATGAATTTGAAAGTCTTGCGGATGCTTTTGCTCGAAGGAAAAGGGAATTACTTGCTGCTGCACATAAGAAGTCGATAACGGTAAGTGGAAAAAACACACCTCGTTACAACCCTTTTCTTTGGAAGATGGTAAAAAAGGAAGAATACTATTCTTGATACAACACATGTTCTGGATTCATATTGTTATACTGGGCTTTAAGGGATGTGGGTAGCCAAGTGGTCAAAGAACAACAAATGGCTCTGCAGAGTTACTTCCCTTCGTGATGCCAGGATCCTAGATCGCCTTAATGTCAAAATCTTATACTTGGCTTAAAGAGATATGAATAGCCCAGTGGTCAAAGCACAATTGGTTGTGCAGAGTTGCTTCCCTTAGTCATGCAGGATTCCAAATTTACCCTGAGTATGATCCTTGATCTATCGGCACCATACCTGTGCTCATGCGTCGACAACCAGCATCATGGCTGTTACGACTGTTCAAATTGTCTTTAGACTGAACCCACTTTCTCAAATTGGGCCGAGCAGAGGTTTAATTACTTTTCTAAGTAGTGTTTGTGAATAAAGGCACAACGATTTATTAATTCCTATATTAACAAACATCTTCAAAACAGGTGTCTCATGGATGTATACACCTCTAATCATCAGTTTGGATCACCAGCAGTGACAGACTCAGCTATTCTTGGGCGTATTAAAGGGGCAACCCTCTACTGTATGATTATGAATTTCATACTCCCTTGAATATAGGTCACATGACATTTACGACCAGTTTTTTAAGTGGTGGTATTCAGGTGTCAAGTTTACCCTGACCAGCCTGTTTCAGAGTGTATCTTGAACATGTTAGACTTACCTCAAACTGAAAAATGGCTTTTATGGAAGGAAATATGACATTTATTATCTGACTAGCGGTACCTGGATATATGAAGATTATTATGAATACTGGCGATGGCTATTAATCTTGATGTATGGCCACGATAACAAGTTGGTTGCCTCAGAAAGATGACATTATGATTGTCTTGAAGCTGTGAAGCTTTTGGAAAGTGTTTTCATTGGTTTTTTTATGTACAGATATAAAAATGTTAGTTTTAGGATAATGTGGCAGACAGGTTTTTATGAGTTTTTTTCAGCTTAGTTTTTTTTTTATTATTACCTTTAGGTTCTTTTATGATCAGGTTTTGTGTTACATGTTGATATTCAGTGACAGTTGTTGTGAATGAGTGAGTTAAAAATTAACGTCACATCAGCAATATCACAGCCATATCGTGACGAGCGTTGTAGAATATGTGTATTATCTCATCATCATTGTCAGCAGTGCTGTTTTAGTATCAGAATGATCATTTTTTTCTGTTACCAGAATACAAAGGATTGTGTTCATATCTTGATTAAGATCAAAGTAATCTTAAATAAAATAATTTTGTAACACTGCTCGGAGTGTAGGCAGTAAAGGAACCCATGAGATGAAACTAAAGCCTTTTGATTTCTGCTTGAGATGGGAATGAGAGAGAGTAATTTATGCTTGAGCTGAGACTAAAATGGGGCTGATTGTAAGATATTAAATATATTGTCTTAGTGTTTTATTAAATATACTAAGGGTCTGTAGAAGAGACTATTTCTACTTTTCAATTCCCCCCCCCCCCCCATAATTACCCCCCACCCAACAAAGTCCGTCACGTTTCGTTTCTGGAGCATAACTCAGAAACCGTTCAATATATTTTCATGAAACTTTGCAGGTCCATCAAGTACATGCTGAACTGGTGCCTTTTGCTATTTAGAAATTTTAGAAATTTTTATTTTTTACCTTTCCATGGCAACAAGATGGACTTAGGTTCCAAACTCTTCTGTTTTTTTACAATTTCCATGACAAGTTCCACCTCGGTTAAAGAAGGTTAGGGTTTGTTTAGATTTCATTATGTCATAAATTCTGGAACAGGGGTGGGGGATATAGCCACGTTAGTGGCAAACTCTTGTTTTGTTTTGTAATAGGGATACGTTTTTGAAGGTTAAATCCATTTCTTTCAGACATTGTACAAAGAAATGTATAGGAAGGCGTCTCAATCATTGTTTTACAAATTGAAAAAATAACTCTTGCTGCTGTGGTCCTTGTGCACAAGCTATCACAGAAACAACACTGGCATCCATGAGGGTATTTACACTGTCAACACGTCTATAACACTGTCCAGGTGTCATTCTCACCTGCCTTGTTAATTCAACTTTAACTGATATTCACAATGTTTAAAGAACAACTTTAACTGTCGCTGAGGTTGAATAGATCATGGAAAATGTGTGCACTGTCAACACAAATGTGAGTCAATTTCATCCTATTTGTTAGTTTGAATTTTTACTGAAATTTAAGATGTTTAAAGAACAGTAGCTGTTATGAAGCTAATGACAGATCCACAATGAAAACTATGTACACTGTTAACACAAATATGAGTGAATTTCACCCTATTTGTTAGTTTAAACTTTAACTGAAATTTAAGGTGTTTAAAAAATTGTAGCCATTACGTGGCTTGAGGCATGGGTGGCCCAGTCGCCGAAGGTGTTGTTTGTGCAGAGTTCCATCCCTTGGACACACCAGGACCCAATGATCATGGGTTCGAATCTTAGTTCGCCTGGTTATGTTTCCAGTTTTGTGTGATATAACTGGAATACTCAAAGTGGCGTTAAGACTCACACTCACTCACTCACTCACTCACCCACTCACTCAAACACTCAAACACACTAAAAACACAACAACATGCTCATAATATTGCAGAGTTGCATCCCTTAGACACACCAGGACCCAATGATTGTGGGTTCGAAACTTAGTTCGCCTGATTATGCTTCTTGTTTTGTGTGATATAACTGGAATACTCAAAGTGGCGTTAAGACTCACTCACTCACTCACTCACTCACTCACTCACTCACTCACTCACTCACTCACTCACTCACTCACTCACTCACTCACTCACTCACTCACTCACTCACTGTCACCATGCCAAAATGAAAACTGGGAACACAGGTATCTAAACTACCATAATAAATGCCAATTTCAACCCAGTTGTTAATTTCAACTTTTAAGAAATTGACGATGTTTGGACATTGATAACCAGGGTTGATACAAACGTTATGTTCATCATGTTATCACAGACACAACATCAAAGGGAAGTAATTGCAGTGAGTGGAATGTTTATGGCTAGTAATGGTCAGATATAGGCAGGTAACCTGGTCATTAATGATCCCTTTGATGTGAGTGAACATACTGGTCAGAGATATCAGTGATTAGTTAGCTGTGGGATATGTTTATGAGTTTGTACATATCAATCACGCTGATTGCTCTTACAGCCTTTGAGCGGGTATTACAGATTAATTATACCCTAATCTGAGGAGGGATGCTATTACATGTTAGTCTTTCTTGTGACTTGCTTTGATGGTATTATATATGATGTAGATCTCTGTGTGTGGAGATTGGGCACATGGAGACGTTAGTCTCCCCCCAACAACCGACTCTGGGGATGATATAGAAACAAGCTCTGCTAGTACTCTGTGTATGTTTTGTTTCCAGAGTGTAGTAAACAAAAAGGGTTATTTTGTTCATGAATTATTATTTTTTTTAATCTTTTATTTTTTAGGGTTCAGCAATGTATACACATCCTCAGAGAACTGTTGTCTTTTGTTACTAGGCGACCTAACCGCCTCGAGAAGGGTATTAGAAATATCACAGACTATATTTTGTATGTTCATACACACAGGGAGCGGTCGGGTAGTCCAGTGGTTAAGCGTTCGCTCGTCACGCTGAAGACCAAGTTCTGATTCCCGACATGGGTACAATGTGTGAAGCCCATTTGTGGTGTTCCCCACCGTGATATTGCTGGAATATTGCTAAAAGCGGCGTAAAACCATACTCACTCACTCACTCACTCATACACACAGGCATTGCAGATGATATAGATGACGTGATCTTCAAATGCTTCCCTTACAATTACCTTATTTTTCTTCCATTGCATGGAATTTGTTAAATCATTGTCTGATATATTTTATCATCTTGTATCATTAATCTTACCTTGATATTCTATCTAAATGTATGTCTTTGGCTACATAAAATAGTAGAAAATGATACTGTATTAAAAAACTGTAATATTTATATATAAGACATTTATATTTCAAAAGACAACTTTTACATGTTTGACACGGGACAGACAGTTTCCGGCAAGTGTGTCCATTATCATTCCAGATTTCTAGTCTGTATGTCAATTTAGAGACATTCAGGATATTTAATTTTATGTGTTGGCAAAGAAAAATCCCCCAAACTGCGTTGCTTTTGAAGACAATTTAAAGAGAGAAAATTGGCAATAAAATGTCAACTAATGAACAAGCTACTGACATACATTAACCAAAAATAAAATTAACCAGCCTCTGCTTGGCCAGTTACAAGGATGTTATCTTCAAATATAGTAAGTATGTCTACAACACCATTCAGTTGGCACTTTCATAAACAGTTTATTAGGGACAGAAAAAACTGAAATATCAACTTATTGTTTGCATCATAGCAATTGGTTAACATTATTTATTTGTTGAATTGTGAAGCAATAGGGCCCCTGCTGTGCGAGTTGTAGATGTGCGGCAGCCACTCTAACTGATACTGATAAATGTAAGTTTAGGGAGACCTTTGCTTGGGCCTCCATGCCCCATTTACTTTGAATGAGATTGGATGTTCTCAAGGAGGAATATAGGCGTGCAAAGCAGAAACTGTTACTACTGCTCAGATTACAAACAGTAAGGGCTTAGGACATTCTCCTTGCCATAGACCACTGTGGAAGATTGAGGAAAGGGTGAAGATGTTAGGAATAAAACCTTGTTTTTTTACGTGTGTTTCATATTGTTGTTAGGTTTATTGTTGTGTGATTGTTTTTTTTCACATTTAGAATTCTGTAATTGTAATGCTGTGAACATTGTGGGTGGTACGGGGTACACTGAGTTATTTTCGGAGAGTGTTTGGGTACATTTGCTTTCAGATTTATTTTCAGAAAGTATTTTGGGTACATTTGCCTTTAGATATATTTTCAGAGAGTTGAGATTGTTTGCTTTTGATTTAGATGAATCTTGTT